TATGTTCAACGTATTCGATTTCGGGTCTTTATCTGCCGCTGCTACAACGAATTCAAAACGTAGCTTCTGCATTGTGTATTTGTAGACTAATTGTCGTTTTGTAAGATGTTTTTTTCCGCAGATATAGAGAGGTGATAAATGATTGCTTGAATTTGTTTCACTGAAAAACAGAGTGGTATTTTATTCGCGACACCTGTTGCGATTTATACTATTATTTACAATTATTTACAGTAAGCTTACCTGAAAAACAGAGAAACGACAATTACAAGCCAATTCACTAATATTAGTTATCAAATTACTTATTGAAATCAAATTAGTTTTTTTTTCTAACATTTATTTTGCACGTGTGCTTCTTCTACTCAGTCCCTCTCTTTTCTCTCGGTCATCGGTCTTCCTACCCATATTGTGTTGTTATGACATTTGGCGAATCATGATAGAGGCGCGTGGAGCATGCGTGGCGCGCCCAATTTAAATTAAAGAAAGCGTTTCTTTACATGTATATGCAGGATGTAAAAAAACCAAGTGCCATAAATTTGTGTGATAAAATAAAAGACCAATATAAGCATTTTAAGTATGAAAACTATGGGTCGACAACTTTTCATGTATTGTTCCCTTCTTTCATCAGAAAAATGTATGGTTTTATAACAATTTTTCTACATCCTCTATACAGACTGTCCATAAAATCTGTCCCTATTTCTATAATTTAAAAACGGCTCATAATTAAAAAAAAGCACAATGTACCTGTTTGATTATTTCAAGGTATTATTTCTTTTAAGAATGTTACAAAGGTTGTTCTCCGAAGGTGTTCCAGGGGACCCTTAAAAATTTTAAACAGAACCATTCATATTCATACGTATATTGCAATTTTTCATGATTTTTAACCGTTTTCAAAATATAAGAGGTGGGGACAGACTTTATGGACACCCTGTATATATAAATATATATACATATGTATACATATGTATACATATGTATACATATGTATTTTATGTGATATAATAAAAGGCCAACTTAACGAGCTTATATGATATTAATTAAAAAATTTTTTTATTAATTTACGTCATAATATACAAAAGATAAGATAAACGTTTCGACTGTACGACAGTCTTTTTCAATATCATGTTAATATGTCAAAAAATTAATTTAGTCATATCGACCTTATTATAAATACAACATTTATGAGATTATCATATGACAACGCAGTACAAAATTCATGTTTGTTGGCTTGAGTTAGAGCGTCAGATTTATGTATGTCATGCTGTTATATTATGTAACGACACTGTGAACAAATTAATATATCCGCTCAAATATTACATTTTAGATTTTTAATAAATAGTATTAACTTACTTTTTTGTCACGAACATAACACTTTTTTTAAAAATTATTTCTTTTTACATAACATAATCACAATGTGTACTTTTTAAAAAACAAATCGATATCTGTATCTCACAATGTCGGCGCGCTGTATATATACCCAATTTTTAAGATGACGTAGACAATTTTTTTAGAATATCAAAATAAGAACCGTCAAGACGCTCGGTGTCCTTTTTTAGATTGATACTGTTGTTTTCTTCTTTAATATATATCATTTCTGATATCAACCTTTTATAATAATTCTTTTCATAATCTAGGATTTTTGTGTCGTTCCAATTGAAATTGTGTGTAAATTTTACAATATGATCAGAAACCACCGAGTGCCTTGCAGAATCTAATCTAATATTATTTTTATGTTCATTTACTCTTGTACCTAATTGTCTTTTCGTCTGTCCTACATATGTAGCATCACAATTATTACACGATATCTTATATATGACCCCCGAATTATTTTGGAGCTTATCCCTGTCTTTTTGCGTTTTTATGACTCTGTTTAATTTCTTTAGACATCTGTATCCTACTGTTATATTTGATTTCTTTAATTCTGATGCTACTAGTTCCGAGATTCTTTCAATATATGGTATCGCTATGAATTTTTTATTTTTGTCGTTATTTATGATTTCGTTATTTATATCTTGAGTCATTTCTTTGTTTAATCTATTAACAATAAGGAACTTCAGTCTATTATTGATTTCTGAGAAAATGAGATCAAGAGGATAACTATTGCTCAATAAAATCTCTATGATTAATGTTAAATTTTTACTATGAAAACGGGGATGTGATAATAATATTGACCGGTCTACTAAATTATATATTACACTTTTTTTGTGGCATATAGGATGATTTGAATGATATGAGAGTGTTCTACCCGAAAATGTTTTTTTCTGAAACCAATCTATATATATTATGTTATTTATAATTTTGAGTGAGATATCTAAAAAACTTATGCTACGGTTATCCTCTCTTTCTATTGTGAATTTTAATCTATCGTGACAATCATTAAATTTTTCTACTAGATATGTGACTTGATCTTCCGGCAAGCAAAGCAAGATATCATCGACGTAGCGATAGTAAAACCTTATATTAACATTTATAGTTTCAAGAATCCTAGTTTCTACATCTTGCATGACAATATCCGCAATAATTGGAGATAAAGGCGATCCCATAGGAGTTCCATGTATTTGTTTATAGATCGTTTCGTTGAATGTGAAGTACGTTGAAGTCAAAATGAATTTAATTACATTAACAAACTCATTTTTGTCTATTGATGTGTGGTTTTCAATGTATTGCCATCTATTATTTATGCTATCTATTGCAAGGTCCAAAGGAACATTTGTGAACAACGATATCACATCCAAAGATACGATTGTTTCATTATTATTTAATTTAAGATCAGACAATGCGTTGCACAATTCAAAACTATTATTAACATGACTTTTCCCTTTGGGTAAACTTGTCACTAAAATGTTGTGTAAATATGCAGCTAAATGATGTAATGCTGTATTGACCGACGATACTATTACTCTGAATGGAACATTTTCCTTGTGAATTTTGGGCAAGCCATATGCTTTAGGAAGCACTGAATCACTGGAACTTAAACAATAATAGTCTTTTTTTGTGATCCATTTTTTTTGATTGTCATATAATTATCTTTGTCATTTAATAATTCTGCAACTTTGTCTATATAAAATTCTTTGGTCATTGCTACGGTCGTGTTTCCCTTGTCTGCTCTTGTGAAAATGATGCTGGGATTTTGTTTACAAAATGTCATGGTTTTTTTGTACATAAAAGTAAGTTTGTCATTTATTATGTCTTTCCTAGTATTGTTGTTTAAAAAAACAAAAACTGTGGAATAGCTATGTTTCTTATTGTCGTGAGATTAGTTATGTTATTCGAATTGCTTTCTATGTCTTTAATAAATTCATGGACAGCTGTTTTTTTATCAGTATTAATAGGAAGGCTAAAATCACTACCTAATTGCAATAAATTTGTGACATCAGTTGGAATATCTACATCAGTCAAATTAATAAACCATTTATCATTGGTTTGTTCTAATGGATTAATAGTTCTGTTTATAAAATTTGTTGCGTTAATGTGGTTATTAATATATTTATTATTTTGAGAGTTTACACTATTTTTCTCTGAACAAGAAAAAACTATGGGTTTAATATTATTATAGTAATCCGATTCTTTTTTTTTGCAATAACCAACCGAATTTTTTCTTATGTAAGTAATGTAAGTTTAAAATTTGTTTTTTGAATAATCTACTATGGTGGTTATAAATCTCTTGCCATACCTGGGATGGGATGTTGTTATTTAATCTTTGTGTAAAGTATCTTATGTTTTTGTTAAAATACCCTATTTGTCTGTGCAAGTCAAATCTCTATGTTTAATATTTCCATTCTATATATTGTACATGTATGATATAAGTTCCGTCTTTCCAAATTATTTGATTTATGGATTTGTTAGCAAAGCGATATTTGTACTGATAAAGTCTGTCGTACAGTCGAAACGTTTACTAATTATCATTTTGATTGTATTATTTTCATGACTTAGAATAAATTGTTAACACCGAATTAATCAGCTCGTTAAGTTGGCCTAGTAATTCATAACTTATTTTAATTTCGCACGAGCCGAATTTTAATTCTCATTATATATACTAGCATACTCAATTGCAGGGCGGCCGCATCTCCCTCTCACCGGGAGCCGTGAGGCACCGGTGGCAGGGCATCAACGCCGTAGAGGGCCCCTTCCCCTTCAGGGAAGGGTCTCCCTGGTGAGGGCCTTTAGGGTGAATGCCGAATCCCCCATTCCCTTTGGAGGGGGAGGGAGCACCACTCTGGAGGCGGGGGGCGATGGCTCGAGCGGGAGCTCTCGAGCTATGGCCTCGCCCCCAAACTCTTTGGGAGGGCGCGGCGTGGGGCCGGTGTTCGCCTTGCGCCGCAACCGCGAGGGAACCGCACAGTCATTGACAGTCATTGACCTCCCCGACCGCACAGTCATTGACTGTGCGGTCGGGGAGGGGTCTCGGCCGCAAGGTCGGGGCAGCTCCCCGGAGACGGCTTGGCGGGGGAGCGGCGAGATGGCATGGGATACCAGCATCCTCGCCGTCCCCTATCCAACGCCCGAGTGGACACCCGCTGGGGTTTTAGTGAGGTAGGTCTTGGGCCCCCTGGTCAAACCATTCGTGGCTCGATCAAGGGGAACAAGGAGTCCCACATAACCCTCACCCCTACCCGGGGGTGTACGGTACCATGATGGTTTCCCCAGCGACACAAAAAAAAAAAAAAAAAAAAAAGGGCGGCCGCATCTGGCTACACTCTTGCATTTGACAATAGGTCGGGCGAATACGGTAATTTTTAATAATTAGTAAACCGTTAACTATCGTGAAAATTATAAAATGGTAGACGACTTGTCGATTCAGTTTAGACCGCTCCACTATCTGCACACAAGTTTAGTTACAAATTTTTAGGACATCCTGTGTATATTATCAGGTTAGATATTCTAATTATTATTAGAATGTAAGAGTGAAACATAAAACATCTTATAAACCCCATTCATTTTTTGACTATGCAACTTTAATAGTTTTTACACTAAATATATATTTATGTAAAAAAAGTATGATTTCGTTTAAAAAAAAGTAATGACTTCGAAATTCCAATGTCTCTGCTTGGAATAAAATTATGCTTACGATAAGACGTCTTCTACTTCGAAATCTTTTATGTAAAACATTTTCCAATATCTTGTATATTTTTTAACATATTCACTTGTGGTAATTAAAATAGAACACCCTGTATGTATATAGACCAAATTATTTTTCTTATGTGCTTTGTGATAATTTAGTTGTCTTGTTGCGATTGACGCAGTGTTTGCGCAACAATAAAATCAAAATTATGTATTAGAAATGAAAGCTGCCAAGCTTTCATCGCGCTTTTATTTTATTATTAAAGTCTATTTAATTAATTTCTGGTTAATCATTGCTGATTTTCGCAACTATCCTATTCTTATTAAAAGCTAGATAATACTCCAATTAAATTAATGTAAATGTGAAGCATTTACATATATTTGTAAACTATTTCTAAATATTTAAATACAAAATAGTATGTAAAAAAATCATTAGTTCTATTCAGAAAAAAATTAATTAATTTTTTATTTCTTTATAAATTAAAGACACGAAATAATGAAATTAACAATTTTCTAAAAAACACTTACTCCAAAAAGTTGTTCTGATATCTTCGAACCAATTAAAAGTTAAAAAGCCATACAACATGCCAGTATGTAAAATAATAGCATATATGATATTAAACCACTTCAAGTCAGTCTTGAACGTGAATAGTCCTTCAAAATTTACATGTGTCTTCTTTTGATTCTGCATATCGTTTTTATCATTTGTAACCTTTGTGATGCTTGAAAATTCTTTATTTTGAAAATATCCTTGACATTTATTTCAGGATTCGTATTCAAAATATTAACTGCCATTTCCATTTATGAAGATCTCTAAATCAGTAAATATAGGTTATCTTAATAGAATGTTGCAACTTTTCTAAAAATTGGTTTCAAATTAAACTTTATATGCAAATTAACAGATGATATACTGAAATGCTGCATTCAATGCAATGATACGAATCTTATGTCTTTCTGAATTTACCCGTGTTCTTTCATGCTCTCTCTCTCTCTCTCTCTCTCTCTTCTCTCTCTCTCTCTCTCTCTCTCTCTCTCCCCCATATTTTTTAAAATATTTACCTGAAGTATTTAAAATTTTAATGTAGCACACATTACATATGCTTTGTTTCGAATTATTTTAATTTAAGAACTCTTTTTGATATATTGTAATATAATTCGATAATCTAATTTAATATTATATATGAAAACAATAATTTTTAAGATTAGTGACAATCAACTATCAAAGTATGTCTACATTTATTTCAGATTTAAAATGTAAATTTTTTGAGCAAGAAATAAAACACTAAAAAATAATATTTTCGATAGCTTACGTTTTTCGAATATATAATTATATAAGAAAAATTATCACATTAATTATGAAACGTGATAAAAATTAAAACTATAAAAAATTAAAAAATCGATTTAAATAATAAAATTTACAAGTATCATAACTATGATTATTTCAAATTTTACAAGATAATATTCTCATTTCCTGCTTGAAAATTAAGAAGGAATTACCCTTAATAAAAGCAATGATTAATATATTTTTTCCAAAATAATAAAACAATTTAAAGATTTATTTTTACTTTTTTATATGTAACCAAAATAATTTTTTACAAAAATTATTTAATATTTAAATAATGTATTACAAAAATTATTTAATATTTAAATAATGTATTACAAAAATTATTTAAAAATTATATTTATAAATGTTGCGACTAGAGCGAATTGAAAGTAGTGCGCGCGCGATTATGAGAGAGAAAGATGAAATGTAAATCATTCCCACACGGTTATCGGACAAAAAGTAACGAGCTTTTATTTCGCACAACAAAAAATAAAATACAAAAAAATGACATAAATCGCGAAAACGCGTGTGGAGAGACGAGCAACTTCAATGCAGTTTAAATCCCGAAGTGAGCGACTTCTCAGTAATATACACGCAGGGCGCAAAAAGCTATGCGCGAATAATTTCACGTGGCGCGAGCGACGGACGGTTTTATAATCAGCTGAATTGCTCTATCACAAAAGATAATTGTTGTTCGACCTTTGTTAGTCGCGCGCGCGTTTTTCGACTTTTCGTTTTTTAAAAATATACGACCAGCTGTTCCAGCGAGAGGACAGAACACACGCATCGATTTTCAACGCGCATTCAGTTTACAAACAGGCCCAGCGTTTGCCTCGTCTTGTCAGCTGTTTGGGTTGTCAAAAAACGTGTAATCGTTGAAGAGTGTTGGGCAGGTTCTTAGAATTAGCCAAACAATTTGCGGAAATGACTGCGCAAGAAATACTCGATCGCTGTTTCACTCAGATAATACCTACAACCTTAAATTCCACCGGTTATGATTGCTTCAAATTTAACGAAATATACCGGGTGATTCCAATTTCACGGGTTCGCGCTCGAACAATAAATTATATTCTATCTTCATTAATAACACAAAAATTTTTTAAATATTCGCACCAAAGTATTGAAATAAAAAATCACACCAAGTAAATTTAGGAAGATATAATGTTTTAAAAAATAAAGTTAAAAAATAAAGAAACAAATTTAATTAAAATTAAGCAAAAACTTAGCGCTGTAACTTTTATAATGTTTTATATAGTAGTATAATAACGCATTCAGCTAGCCTTAAAATAGCTTTTGCAAAACAGCGCAAATATTTAAAAATTTTCTGTGTTATTAATAAAGATAAATTATAATTTATAAACAAACTAAGGTTCAATAACAGCTCTGTAATATAAATATAAATCTAAATCATAAGAAAGGCGTAAAGAACCATACGCGGATGTTTTCTACGTATATTTACAACGAAATTAAATTTTCGTTGGAAACAAAGCGTGCGCAAGGCACGTATTATTCTCGGTGTACCAACCAAGACTTTAAAATTGAAATAATCTCTTACTTGAGATTTAATTTCAAAAACCCCTAACCCCTTGCGGAAATAATTAAATAAATGTAAGAGAAAAATATAGATCCGAAAGTTGCTGAATCGGGATTCGAACCCGAGACTGAAATGCTGCATTTTAAAATCTTGGTTGGTACACCTAGAATAATACGTGCCTTGCGCACGCTTTGTTTCTAACGAAAATTTAGTTTTGTTGTAAATGTACGTAGAAAACATCCGCGTATGGCTCTTTACGCCTTCCTTATGATTTAGATTTATATTTATATTACAGAGCCGTTATTGAACCTTAGGTTGTTTATACACACGCCGGCGAATAGGCGTTATAGAGTATATGTAAGCAGAGAAGGGTATAGAATCGAAGGGTCTGAATAGCTCAGATGGAAGAGCAGTCGCCCGGCAAGCAAAAAGTCTCGGGTTCAATTCCCGATTCAGCGACTTTCGGATCTATATTTTTCTCTTACATTTATTTAATTATTTCCGCTGGTGGGTTAGGGGGTTTTTGAAATTAAATCTTATTAAAGAGATTATTTCAATTTTTAAAGTCTTGGTTGGTACACCGAGAATAATACGTGCTTTGCGCACGCTTTGTTTCCAACAAAAACTTAGTTTCGTTGAAAATGTACGCAGCAACATCCGCGTATGGCTCTTTACGCCTTCCTTGATTTAGATTTATAATTTATAAATATAATTTTTAAATAATTTTTGTAAAGAATTATTTTGGTTACATATGTAATTTTGAAAGATTAAATATTTTTGATGGTTATAAACTTTAAAAGAATAATAATTTTGACTTACTTGGCATAATTTTTTATTTTACTATTTTTTGATGCAAATATTTTAAACTTTTTTTGTGTTATTATTAAAGATATAAAATTTAATTTATAAATATAATTTTGAAAAAAAATTTTTAATAATTTTTGTTATAAACTATTTTTGTTAATTTTTTGACGAAAGATATACTTAGCGCTTTTTTTAACATTTGTGATGTCTTTTTTACGTATACATATAAGTTGATTATAAGAATCTAGACGCGATTTCCGCTCTTTCTTTGAGTCTTCTTCAGCGCATATAGAAAACAAAGATTAAGAAATTATACGGATAAATGAATCATGATGTCACAACGTGAAAGATTGTCTTACTTCATAATATAGTAAGGCGATATTATTATTATTATATTTAAAATTTTCACAAACACGATGTTTTCTTCATCAGGTTTAAAAGCCCGGAAGTATTCGTTTATTATGAGTATTAATTTGCCGTTATTCATTGCTAGTGACAAAAAGTGCGATTTTGATTATATCAAGGAGTTGAAAACCAGGCTAATACATAAGCATAATGGAAATAATATATTATAGAACGTATCAACTTATCTCTTTCCTCATACACAGTCGTAGTTGATTCGGAAGGCTAAATTATTTCTTTCATCGAGACAACAGATAAGTAAGATAAGATATGGTTAAATATGATTCTTTTCTCACCAATATGCGACAATTACTTTGTGCGGTGGTAGTTTCGTCGTCGCTTGTGCTGGCTGTAGATATGTATATTGTAAAGATAGACAAATAATCTACAATAACGAACGATAATAACAAAAGACTGAAACCGGTACCCAACAGCGAGAGTTAAATACTATTGATATTATTTATATATAGAGGGGGAAAAAGAAAAAGAGGGGGAAAGAGAGGGGGAAAAGAGGGGGAAAAGAGAGAGGGAAAGAGAGGGGGAAGAGAAATATTATTGATACTTTTTTTCTAAATAAAACAAAGAATTATAGGTAAATTTTTTTCTTGCAAAATAAATTAGAATTTAAGTATAAGACGGGCAACAAGAATTAGAATAAATATTCATTTATTGCAATATACAATTCAGATTTCTTTGAAATATATTCTCAATGTCGTGATTCTAAATAATATTCAAAAGATTTTATCCGTTATTCTTATCGTTTACTCATTGCTTATTAAAAAAATTATTAACAAATAAAGATGTATGAAAAATGAGGTTCAAAAATAAATAAATAATAAAAACTTCAATATTACATGTTTTATAGTTATAAATATTATTATGTATACACACGCGCAATTTAAAAAATTAAGCTTTTGTTACGTTCTGTGGACTTCACGATTCTTTTCTTTCTCACGACCAGAATAGAATTTATTGTTAGATAAATAGAAATGAAGGAAATGATAATCTGAATAGCGCATATGATAAAAATCGTAAACGTGCCAACACAGCCGGATATATCGTGAAGGCCCAACAAATATAAATTGTTAAATATGAAGACAGAGCTAAAAGTGACGAAAGCGAGGAAAGCGAGAGAAAATATATATTTATATAAATTAGTAAATAAAACGTGCAGAGCAAAAGCAAAAATTTTTGTGTACAAATTGAGAAAACACGGCGATAACGCACCGGAAGCAAATTTTTCTCGAAAAAATAAGATTAGACCACATTAAGACCCGTCGATCCTTGCCAAACAAGTAATAAATAGGCAACCCAGTCAATAAAAAACATCATTAATAACCGCCAAACATAGCGATATACGCCGAGGAAATCTAACAACAAACACCACCGGCGATACTCAATCTATGAGACATCCCCGCTTTTGGAAACAAACTCCGATTCAAAGATCCTTGTAATAAAATTTCCGATTCGTCGATCTTTGGAATTCACCCCGCGGTAGGAGAAAGTAAAAATATTAAAAATTGCGTTTACGGATTTTCATTTGCAGGATCTTGTTAAGAGGATAAAATGGAGAGCATGAACCAAAAAACGGGATATGAGCATGAACTTTGCCACGGAGCACTCACTACCTTTTCTCCGGCGAAACTATTGTAATTAGTACTCTATTAGTGCTTTATTAGTGCTTTTGTGCGCAATAAGTGGTTGTCCGACGAACCAACCGACCACCAAGCCAACCGAAGTTCCATCATGCTAAAAATTAAGAATCAACGCTCACAATAAGTAGTAAGTCTATTTAATATATCCACATTTCTATACATATATTTTTATAATTCAATATAATTCTGGGACTCTAATTAGATCATTGAATTATTTTATTGTTTCGCTGTTGGATTTATTAACAAATTATTGTGAAAACCCTTCGTTATGAGTATCCCCGGAAACTTTTAAATAGGACGTTGTCTCACGCAACAATCCGAACACGTGTAACGCGAGATATACCCTTCGTGAATAACACGCCGCGATTGCGTACGGGACGTAACATCCTTTTATTTTTCTCGAGGTCTTACCCGTGCTGGCGTCGAGGATCTCACCGCTGCACCAAATTATGTTGTGCCCGTCGCCGAAGGTAGAAACGTTTAGGTAGAGGATCGTCACGCTCAAAGAGTTAGGACCTACGTACTAAGTAGACATTCGCGAGTTCAAAGTAACAACATTTTATTCTAATAATAGTATAATTTGGCAATGCGCGGACCACTGCGCGTAGCACGTTCTAAGATCGGACCCCTGTTGATCGTTGTCAATCTCCTTATATTTGCTTTAATTTAGGGCGTTGCAGCCTCAGCATGCCGTATTCTTCTTTTGATGTTTGCTTACTCGTACTTCTTGGAGTCCGGCTAGTATCGAGGTCGCTTTCGCGCTACTCGCTTTCTTCGCTTGCTCTTACCTACTTTACTTATTTTGTTCATTAGCATTTTTGTTAATATTTCCTAATTATATTATTAATCTCTTTTTTATTGTTATTATATTATTATTGTTTAAAAGAAATTTACGAGATCGAGTCACGACAGTGTGCGTGTCTATATGCGTGCATGCGTGCAAGCGCGCGCGTGTGTGGTGTGTGTGTGTGTGTGTGTGGTGCGAGAGAGAGAGGGTGGAAGGGAAAGAGAGAGGGGAGAAAGTGTGTGTGTGTCTGTGTAAAAATATCTAACTATAAATTTAACGTATAAGACGGGCAACAAGAGCCAAATCGCGGATGACAATGCGTTATCCTAACGAAACTAAATAATTTTTCGTTAGAAATAAATACCGGTGCACAAGGCACCAAATTTTTACATGGACACGGCCAAGATTTTAAATATGAAATAATCTCATATTTGAGATTTAATTTCAATACCCCTTTAACCCCCATACGGAAATAAATAAATGAATGCAAGAGAAAAATATAGATCCGAAAATCGCTGAATCGGGAGGCGACTGCTCTTCCAGCTGAGCTATTCAGATCCTTTCGATTCTATACTTTTCTCTGTTATATATATTAATGTGGTAAACAAACGCATTTTTTAAGCCAGCGTGTATCAAATATAAGAGTTTTAACAAGGCTCTGTAATATAAATATAAATTAACGTAAAAGCGAAAGGCAAGCGAAAGGTCTCGGGTTTGATTCCCGATTCAGCGATTTTCGGATCTATATTTTCTCTTGCATTCATTTATTTATTTTCCGTAGGGGGGTTAAAGGGGTATTGAAATTAAATCTCAAAATATGAGATTATTTCATATTTAAAATCTTGGCCGTGTCCAAGTAAAAATTTGGTGCCTTGTGCACCGGTATTTATTTCTAACGAAAAATTATTTAGTTTCGTTAGGATAACGCATTGTCATCCGCGATTTGGCTCTTGTTGCCCGTCTTATACGTTAAATTTATCAGGAGACGCGGTAGCGTCTCGCTAAGTTATATCTTTTATTCGTCAAATTAAAATACTATCTACAAAAAAACAAAAAAAAATATCAAAAGATATCGAAAAGATAGCGAAAATATCGAAACAATAGCGAAAATTATCCGTAGGACGCTACTGTGTATCCTTTACCGGACGTAACACGATTTCGTAACCATGAAAACAAAAATTTGAAATATTTCATGAACGGAAACATATTTTTCAAAAGATGACCATATCAATCGAAAGCGCGATTTTTCCGAGTAAAATGAGACCTTAACGAACTTGATAGCTCTATTGGTTGCGGAGATATGAATTTTTCAAGTTATTTTTTGGTCGAAAAGGTGTCACTTTTTTTTAAGACTACGGCGTCGTACTTGTCCGCGGTCACCCATCCCGACAAAGTGATTCTGTCCGAAGCTGCTTTACCTTATCCGCGGTCACCCATCCTAGTATAGTGACATTTCCTCAGCTGCTTAACCTTTTAAGCAACCAAACGAAAAATAAATTCTCGCTCTCTCTCACTCTCTCTCTCTCTCCCCCCTCTCTCTCCCCTCTCTCTCCCCCCTTTTCTCCCTTTCTCTCTTGCTTTCCCACGTCTTTTTTCGCTCTCTCTCGCCCTCTCTCGCTTTCTCTCGCTGTCTCTCGCTCTCTCTTGCTCTCTACCGCTCTCTCGCGTTCTCTCGCTCTCTGCCGCTCTCTCTCGCGTTCTCTCGCTCTCTCCACTCTCTCTCGCGTTCTCTCGCTCTCTCTCGTCTCTCGCTCTCTCTCGGTTTTTTTCGCTTTCTCTCGCTGTTTCTCGCTCTCTCTCGTTCTCTCCCGCTCTCTCTCGCTTTCTTTCGCTCTCTCTCGCTCTCTCCCGCTTTGTATCGCTCTCTCTCGCTCTCTCTCTTGCCCTCTCTCGCTGTCTCTCGCTCCCTCTTGCTCTCTGCCGCTCTCTCTCGCGTTCTCTCGGCCTCTCTCGCTCTCTCTCGCTCCCTCTCGTCTTCTCTCACTCTCTCTCGGTTTTTTTTCGCTTTCTCTCGCTGTTTCTCGCTCTCTCTCGTTCTCTCCCGCTCTCTCTCGCTTTCTTTCGCTTTCTCTCGCTCTCTCCCGCTTTGTATCGCTCTCTCTCGCTCTTTTCTCGCCCTCTCTCGCTGTCTCTCGCTCCCTCTTGCTCTCTGCCGCTCTCTCTCGCGTTCTCTCGCTCTCTCTCGTCTTCTCTCGCTCTCTCTCGGTTTTTTTCGCTCTCTCTCGCTTTCTCACGCTGTTTCTCGCCTTCTCTCGTTCTCTCCCGTTCTCTCGCTTTCTCTCGCCCTCTCTCGCCCTCTCTCGCTCTCTCTCGCTCTCTCTTGCTCTTTCCCGCTGTCTCCCGCACTCTCTCGCGTTCTCCCGCTCTCTCTCGCTTTCTCTCGCTGTTTCTCGCCTTCTCTCGTCCTCTCCCGCTCTCTCTCGCTCTCTCTCGCTCTCTCTCGCTCTCTTTCGCTCTCTCTCGCTTTCTCCCGCTCTCTATCGCTTTTTCTCGCTCTCTATCGCCTTCTCTCGCTTTCTCTCGCTCTCTCTCGCTCTCTCTCGTCTTCTCTCGCTCTTTCTCGGTTTTTTTCGCTTACTCTCGCTCTCTCTCGCTTTCTTTCGCTCTCTCTCGCGTTCTTTCGCTCTCTCCCGCTTTCGCTCGCGTTCTCTCGCTTTCTCCCGCTCTCTCTCGCGTTCTCTCGTTCTCTCCCGCTCTCTCTCGCGTTCTCTCGCTCTCTCCCGCTCTTTCTCGCGTTTTCTCGCTCTCTCCCGCTCTCTCTCGCGTTCTCTTGCTCTCTCTTGTCTTCTCTCGCTCTTTCTCGGTTTTTCTCGCTCTTTCTCGCTTTCTCTCGCTGTTTCTCGCCTTCTTTTGTTCTCTCCCGCTCTTTCTCGTTCTCTTTCGTTCTCTCTCGTTTTTTTCCGCTCTCTCTCGCTCTCTCCCGCTTTCTATCGCTCTCTATCGCTCTCTCTCGCTCTCTCCCGCTTTGTATCG